TCACGCCACACACTCAGCTCTAGGAATAGAGGCCAACCAAGACAGGAATGATAATCGCAGTCATGCACATCGCTCGCTCATACACACACACACACACACACACACTACACACACACACACACACACACACACACACACACACACACACACACACACACACAATGACCTTCATTTTCCATTCACACAGCCAAACACAAAGCAGACGATATGGAGGAAGGCAGAGGTAGTTCGGAGGACTTGCTGCAGGCGCAAAAGGCGTACTGGGACGAGCAGCAGCCCAGCGTGGATGGCATGCTGGGTGGTCTGGGGTTCGTCCATGACACAGACATTGCCGGGTCGCGCGCGTTCCTGGACAAGGTGATGCCACTGCGGGAGGGGCAGCAGGACCGCGGGCGGGCGTTGGACTGTGGCGGCGGTATTGGGCGCGTGACAAAGCACCTGCTCTTGCCAGCAGGCTTCACCAGCGTGGACATCTTGGACGTCAGCTCAGACTTCCTGGACAAGGCGGTGGACTACGTGGGCTCGGACGCGCTCAAGAACAGGTTCTGCAGTGGCCTGTCGCAGTTTGACTTTGCCGGCACGGGCCTCAAGTGGAACTGCGTCTGGGTGCAGTGGTGTGCCATCTACCTGGCGGACGACGCGTTTGTGGACTTCTTCCGACGCGCAGCAGCCGCGCTCGCTGATGAGAACAGCCTTGTCGTCCTCAAGGAGAACGCCTTGCGTGGCGACAGGCCGCCCGAGCCAGACCACGACGACAGGTCAGTCGTGCATGCACACGCGCTGGTGGAGGATAGCGTATGGTGGTGCACGTATGGTGCGGCGTGTTGATGTGCTGCCCACTCACTCTTTGTTGCCTGTTTGTTGCCTTGCTTGCGCGCTGCCTGTTCCACATCTCCAATCTCTCACCCCCCCCCCCTGCATACACCCTCCTGCATGCACCCCTGACAGCTCTGTGACGAGGAGCGATTCGCACATGCGGCGGCTGTTTGAGCGTGCTGGCCTTCGCGTTGTGCATGCAGAAGAGCAGAAGGGCTTTCCTGCGGAGCTGTACCCTGTCATCTCATATGCTCTTGTGCCCAGATAGCAGCACCACATGCATCATACAATACATGACACTGCAACTGAGACACAGCAGAGAGAGACAGAGAGAGCAAGCTGGGCAAGGCATGAAGGCATGGAGTAAAGAGTGAGGAGGAGGCACCACATCATGTCACCATCACCATCAGTGATGACCACCACCACAACACGCATTTCACAAACGCACACAGCAACTGCAACACACTGCAAGTCGTGCACGTGTTCCATGTGCATGAGGATCATCGCGCAAACCCTGCAACGCCGAGGATACAGCGCCGCTGCCAGCCGCATCAGGACTGCCACCACCGACACCACCACCACCAGCAGCAGCAGCAGCATGGCGTACTTCCTCAACTTTGATGGAGGGGCGAGGGCGGTTGGCCGGTCCAAGCTGGCAGGGTGCGGGTGTGCCCTGTACAACCGCAACGGCGTGCTGCTGGAACGGCATTGGAAGAGCTTGCCGAATGGATCCACGTGCAACGAGGCCGAGTACGAGGGTCTGCGGCTCGGCCTTGCGCGATGCAGGCACCTTGGCATCGCGGACGTCATCGTGCGCGGTGACTCGAAGCTCATCATCAACCAGGTCTTTGGCAAGTGGCGGGTGAAGGCGAAGAACCTGCAGCCGTATCACGCGCTGGTCAAGCAGGACGTCAGGGCCATCGGCAAGATCAGCGGGTGCTGGGTGCCGCGTGCGGAGAACGAGGAGGCAGACGCCCTTGCAAACAAGGCCATGCGCATGAGAAGCAGTGGTGCAGACATCCTGGTGCGCGTCCAACAGCAACAGCAGCAGGGGCAGCAACAACAACCACAAGAAGGGGAGCACAAAGAACAGGAGGTGTCACAGGGAGAGCCGCCAGCCAGGTCTGCTCCTTCAGGCAAGCGCAACGCGTACGCAGCGGACAGTGAAGAGGAGGATGAGGAAGAAGAGGAGGAAGAGGAAGAGGAAGAAGATGGGCTGGCTGGGCCCGTGTCGAGATCAGAGCAGGTCGCCAAGCGTGCCAAGGAGGAGCGCATATCCGACGCACACAACCCCGCCAGCAGAGCAGGCAGCAACGGCAGCCGCAATGGCAGCCACGTTCACCGCGCGACAGTGACCGCAACAACACCGCAACAGCAGATGCGTCAGCAGCACCAGATGGCCATCCCAGCATCGAGCAGGCTCACGTCCACAGCAGAGGTGCACGCGCTGTTTGATCCTTTGATTGAGGACGCAGAGCGCTATCTGTCTACGCTGTATGCACGGCGCGACGCAGCGCTGGAACGCATCCAGCACCAGAGCTAGTGTGTATGTGTGTGTGTGTGTGTGTGTGTGTGTGTGTGTGTGTGTGCGATTGCATGCTTGTCCTTGGGCTCTTCCGCTGTACCTTTTCTTTCTGTTGACCTGCCTTCGATCCAACAGCCTGCTGCCCACACGTCTCCACTTCCCACCCACTCCGTCTCTCACTCCCTCTATCCGTCTGCCCCTCTCTTGCGCGTGTAAACGAAGCTGATGTACTACTAAGCTGCCTCGCGGCACGAACAATGGCATGGCAGATCGCACGTGCGTGCGTGCGTGCGTGTGTACAAGAAGAAGTGGCGCAGGCGCGGATGCAAGCCAAGAGAGCAAGGGGGGGGGGCAGGGACGAGATGGAGAGATGACAGAAGGACGCACAGGCTCACATCATCATCATCGTCATCATCATCGTCATCATCATCATCATCATCATCATCACCATCATGATCATCCCTCACGAGCAGCGTCCCCTCTGTCACCCACTAACATCAACCCGAGACGAGTGCGGCCTAGGATGGGAGAAAGGGAAGCGATATTGCGTTGGCGTGCCCTTTACCATTGATGGCGCCCTCGTACTTCATATCCGACATGTCGTACCACTTGCAGAAGCGCGTCTCGTCCTTGCCCAGGTCCCCGCACGAGCAAAACGCGTTGAGCGCGCTATTCATCTCCTCCAGTGCCCGCACCGCCGCCCGGAACGCGGGTCCATATGCCCGGATCTTGCGATCAAGCTCCTTCATGGCGTAATCGTACACAATCTTGTCCAGCTGCAATGGGTGAGTGAGTGCGTGAGTGAGTGAGTGCGTGAGTGAGTGAGTGAGTGACGGAGTGAGTGAGTGGGTGGGTGGGTGAGTGAGTGAGTGAGTGAGTGAGTGAGTGAGTGAGTGAGTGAGTGAGTGAGTGAGTGAGTGAGTGAGTGAGTGAGTGAGTGAGTGAGTGAGTGAGTGAGCGTGCGTATGTGCGTGAGTGAGTGCATGTGAGAGAGAGTGTGTGAGTGAGTGAGTGTGTGAGTGAGTGAGTGGGCGAGTGCGTGAGTGCGTGCGCACGTAATGGTCAGAACGTCTACTCTGAGCCCCTCTCCCCATCACACACAACCATCTTTCATCACAATCCTCTACCCCATCCCCTCGGCAGCCGGCACACCTGTGTGAGGTCTTCGATCTTTTCCTTGAGGGCCGGATCGAGGGAGCTGATCTTGGGCGTCTTCTTCACGGGTTTTCCGTCCCATCGCTTAAAGCCTTCCTTCGAGCTGTCAAGCAGCTTTGTGTACGTCATGTCCCACAGCGACCTGGTGGTGGTGGTGGTGGTGGTGGTGGTGGTGGTGGGGTGGCGAGCGAGTGTGAATGATGCTTGGACAAGCACATTGAAAGGTTTCGCACGGAAATGAAAGCAAACACACACACACACACACACCCACCCACACACACACACAGCAAACACACAGCAAACACACAGCAAACACACACACACACACACACACAGCAAACACACACACGCACACACACACACAGCAAACACACACACACACAGCAAACACACAGCAAACACACACACACACACAGCAAACACACAGCAAACACACAGCAAACACACACAGCAAACCCACAGCAAACACCCACCCACACACACACACACACACACACCATCCGAGGTCGTTTGCAAGGATGACGAGGCTCTCATGCATGCGGTCGGAGAGGAGGAGGGTGCGAAACACGGGCGCGTACTCCCGCATGAACTTGTCCATCTCCTCCGGCGTGCGGACGCCAAAGTCGCGCATGAGGATGTTGGCGTGGTTCCCGCGCTCCACAAACTCTTCCAGCGGCAGGCTGTTGGCCTTTGGCTCGTCGTAGAAGTAGTAGTAGGAGAGGTAGTGGGAGATGGGCTCGCGCAGGATGGTGACAAACTTGCCGTTGGGGACAACCTCCGTGTACCACTTGTACGCGGCCTCCCACGCAGCGATGGACCTGAGTGCGGTGGGGATGCCCGCGTAGTGGTAGACAACAATGTCGGCGGGGATGGTGGCCGAGTTCTTGTAGCGCACGCGCAGGCCGTGCGTTGGGCTCTTGTACAGGGTGAGGTCGTGGCGGGCGCCGTAGCGGAAGAAGATGCTGCCCAGCGTGGAGGACCCGGTCTTGTGCGTCTTGATGTAGGATATTCTCTGCTCCGGGTTGGATGCGTTGCGTGGCGTGAACCGCTGCGACTGCAGCACCCGCTTCTCCAGCTCGAGCGATTTCGGCACGCAGCACGTTTGCCCACAGTCGGGGTTCTGTCATCAAGAAACAAGGGGGGGGGTGGCGAACGTGTTTCGTGTGTGCGTGTGCAATTGTGTTCTGTCAAGGAACGCAAGAGGCGTACATGCACATGGGAGGACATGCAAATGGGCAAATGGGCAGACACCACGTCCTCGCACACATCTGCGTGCGTGCACACACACACACACAGACAGATAGACAGGCAGACAGACATACAGACAGACAGACAGACAGACAGACAGACAGACAGACAGACAGACAGACAGACAGACAGACAGACAGATAGAGAGGCAGACAGACACACACACACACAGACAGACACACAGACAGACAGACACACACACACACAGACACACACACACCCACATGTACACAAGTGCACACACGTGCACACATCACCATCACACGCACCCGGGGAAACTTGGATTGGAAAGGAACGCCTTCCGCGTCGTGGTCCTCGGGCTCTGTGGTCTTTTGGCTGTCTTTGGTGAAGCCATCGTTGCTCCCTTTTGGTGGTCGCTGGTCGTCTTGCTGCTTGTTGGCTGTGGTCGTGGTGGTTGTTGACGTGGTCAGCACGGGCTTGGTGGTGTACACGCTCTTGTCCACGGTGGCGTGGATGCCCGGTTCGATGACGCTCGATGTCAGGTACACGCCCACAAGCACGCCCATCACAAACACCAGCACGCCAGCAGCAAGCAGCGTGAACCGCCGCTTCTGCGTGCCAACCAGCATCTCTCCCAACGAATCCAGCAGGGCAGGCGGAAGAAGCAAGTAAGTGCGTTGGCGGTGAGGAGAGAAGCAGACAGCAGCACGATCCAGAAAAAACAACGGTGCTCGACACGACAAAGTGCGGCTGTAGTTTGCTGTGTCATGTCTTGCTTGGATGAGTGAGACGAGACAACAAAAGCCAACAAGCAAGCAGCGGAGGACACTTACCACACAAGCACAACCACAGCCAGACACACATTCACAGACAGACAGACACACGCAGACACAGGCGCAAAGACACACAAATACGCAAAGACACACACCCAGACACAGCCAGACAAGAACCCCCTTCGAACAAGCGGAAAGCATGTGGAAGAAGCCAAAGTGGCAGTGGGAGGAAGGGGACGAGTGGGGCACGGAGTTGTGGGTGGACTACGACGAGGAGAACACGGAGATGCTGGAGGAGGCGCACAAGGCGGAGATCAACCCCGTGGATCTGGACAGGGGCTACTTCCAGAAGCGGCCGGGGTACTTTGTGGACTTTGAGGGCGGCTTCCAAGCAAGCAAGATGACGGGGATGACGCGGCGCATTCGGCGCTTGGACGAACTGCAGCGCAGCGCCCGGCCAGAGCTTGTGCAAGCCCTGCACACCTGCTTCACATCCACCAACGTCGTGGCCTTGGTGAGCAAGGACGATGTGACCGTCGACGAGCAGGAGGCAAAGCTTTCGGAGGACGCCCTCATCCAGCTCTTTGACAAGCATGTCCCAAATCTGCACGACCTGCGCGATTGGACCGGCAAGGACCCCGTCACCAAGTTCTTCTTCGGCACGTACACCAGCGGCGTGCCCAAGTTCAAGGCAAACAACCCGAGTCTGAACAATGTCCTCGTGCAGGCCTTCCGCTACATTGTCCATGAAGCGGAGAAGGGTAACGAGGCAGCAATCCGATGCATGCGTCCGCTCGCAGAAGCATTTGAGGTGTGTGTGTGTGAGTGAGTGAGTGAGTGGGTGGGTGAGTGAGGGTTCATGTCAGCGTGTGCGAGTGTGTCTGTGTGTTTGTGCGTGAATGTGTGTGTGTGTGTGTTTGTGTGTGTCTGCGTGTACACATGTGTGTGTTGCTCTGCCTTTTCCCTGTGTGCGTTTTGTGCCTTCACGCTCACGCCTTCCTCCCGCCCGTATCGTACAGTCATGCCAAGCAGAGCAAGCGCGAGAGATCAACAGCCTCTTTGGCACCGTCACCGGCCGCGACAAAGGGCTGCCCGAGCAGGTGCGTTGAACTCACATGGCTGATCGCACTGCAGTTGCGGATTGTGTTGTGGTGTTGGTGTTGGTTGTGGTGGCAAAGGTCGTTGTGATGTACAACACGCGAAACCGCTGTTCTACCAACACCACCACCAACAGACAGACAGCAAACTCTGAGAAGTGCCTCGACACTCCACACTGGCCACACTGACACTTGCTCTGCTCTCCGTTCCATTCTCACCCCGCTTGCTTGCTTGCTTTCTCGCGGTACCAGCTGGCCAAGTTCATTGACGAATACAAGCAGCGCGTTTTGAACACGGTCATTCCCGACGTGTTTGAGAGTGAGTTGTGCGATGATTTATCTCGTACCGTACCAGTGGCAGTCTGTTTTGCATCAGCTCGTACATGCTGTCGGCGTGTGCGTGACAGGGGTTGTTGCTCGTTGCATGCTGTACAGTGTTATCTTGGCTTGCCACGCTTGTCCATCTATTGCAAGGCCGGGGACAACCAACCATCGCAAGCAATGATCCAAACAACACTGCGCACTCAGCAGAGATAACAAGCCATCTGCCCACCGCATCTCATCTCCAAACACGGCATTGATTCGTGCTGCCTGCCTTGCTTGTCTGTCTGCTCTTCCTTGTTCACAGCTACGGAGGACAACAGCTTTCCCCACAAACAAGTGCCCCACATCTACAACAGGTGCCGTGCCCTGCATACCGCAACACCCCTTTCCATCTCCACTGCTCTTCTTCATCGCGCACAACTCCACGAAACAACACCATGTTCATGCATGACGCAACTAGACCAACATAGCAGACCATACTCACATACAACGAATATCACACTCATCTCAACACACACACACATACAACACACACACACACAACAACACACGCTACACCTACTGCTACGCAGGTGCCTTGTTGATCTGGGCGACATTCTCGGCCTCTCTGGCGTTGAGATTGCGCAGGCGGACGCAGCAAAGCCGCCAGAGCTCGACGAAACCGCCAAGACAACAGTGAGCACCGCCATAGTTGTGTGTGTGTGTGCGTGTGTTGTGTGTGTGTGGTTGTGTGTGGTTGTGTGTGTGTGTGTGTGTGTGTGTGTGCGTGTGATGTGTGTTGTATGGGCCCTCTGGTTCCACCCTTGCCTGCCATCATCATTCAACCTCGCCTGCCTCTGGCCGTAACCTTTATGTTTGTGCGTTAGGTTGTTGATCGATTTCGCGAACTCTTCGACATGGAACAGCTGTTGGAGGTGTGTGTGTGTGTTTTGTGTGTGTGTGTGTGTGTGTGTGTCGATGAGGGTATCGGCAACAACAAGGCTGTGTTTGCTGTACTTGTTCAAATCTCAACTTGAACCCTTTCCTTTCCTCATCCATACACACACACACACACACATACACCAGGACATTACATCCGACATCAACCAGAGCGGAAATGTTGAGCGCGCAATTGACCGGTACGCACATGCCGCTTTTTGCGTGTGTGTGTGTGTGTGTGTGTGTGTGTGTGTGTGTGTGTGTGTGTGTGTGTGTGTGTGTGTGTGTGTGTGTGTGTGTGTGTGTGTGTGTGTGTGTGTGTTTGTGTGTGTGTTTGTGTTTGTATGTTGTCCGTTGGTGGCTGCGCATCCAGTAGCTGCTCTGCGTTGCGTGTCACCAAGTCGAGCTCACAGCTTCCCTCACCGCCCGTTATGCACCTTTTTGCTCCCCTCCGCTGCCCTCATCGCCGACCCCCTTATCACCAACCCCTTTCATATAACCGCATGCACTGCAGCACGCTGCTGTTGAAGCACGAGTTTCCCGCCAGTTTCGAGCGCCACAAACTGATGTACGACGAGGACGAGCCGCAGGTGTACAACTTCAAGAAGCCCACAGAGGAGGAGGAGTTCAACGCGTTTGTGTTTCCCGGCATCGTGGCGGAAATGCTTGCATGCATCTTCCTCCCTCCAGCAGAGTAACGACCAACAACCACGACAACAGCAGCAGCAGCAACAACAACAACAACAACAACACTGCTCAATTGTGGGTTGTGTGTGTGTGTGTGTGTGTGTGTGTGTGTTTGCTGGGTTGTGTGCATGTGTTTGTTGGCCTTTCTTCTTTCTGTGTCTTCTGCTGCTTTGCATGTGGCAAACTTTTGTCCCAATCACTTTGGCTTCTGCAAGCTGGCGCACGCACACCCACACGCACACATTCGAATACACACACACACACACACACACACACACACACACACACACACACACACACACACACACACACACACACACACACACACACACACACACACACACACACACACGCGCGCGCGCGCGCGCGCGCACACACAGACACACAGACACACACACAGACACACACACACAGGCGAGAACAAACCTCAATGAGATGGTGCTGGACTTGGCCGTCGCCGAGATGAACGGTGAGTGCGTAGAGCCGCTCAATGCGCTTCTCCCGCACAAGATACGAGCCGGGCGGCGTGCCAACCACGCGAATCTCTGCGTCCTGGCGCGAGAGCGCGCCGTGGAATCCAGACAGGAGCTCGTCCACGGCCGGGTGGATGTCGTTTGCGTCGCTCGCTGAGCTCATGGATCGCGGCCGGCAGCCGTGCGAGACGGCGCGGGAGCGAAACTGGCGCGGGCTGCCTGGTCGCCGAAGCTCGTGGCTGGTGGACACGCTCTGGCTGCGGCGGCGCTGGTCTGGATCGAAGCTGTGCGGCAGCGGCGAGATGCTGTCGCGCTCCTCCTCCTTCTCTTCCTCGCCAGCGGCGTTTGCGGCGATGATGGCGGCGTCGGCGCCAGGCACATTGAGGTGGTGGCGTTGAAACGAGCGGGTGAGCGCGGCCTCAACCTCGTGGTCCTCGCTGGTTCTGGAGCTGGAGCGGTCGGTGCTGCTTGTTGTGGATGACCGTGCGCGAGAGGCTGGGCGGCTGTTGCTCAGCTGCTTGTGCTCCATCGCCTTTCGCAGCTGGGTGAGCGCTGGATCTGCAACGCCGGTCTCGGCCTGCTTCACCAGCAGCTCCTGCAGGGTGGGCGGCCGCTCAACCTTGTCTGTGGGGTGGATGGCCTTGGTGCCGAAGACGGTGGCATAGTCCGATGTGGTGTCCATGATGGCGTGGCAGCTGTCGGGCTGCGTTGTGCTCTGGTCTTGTCGTGCTGTGCTGTGCTTGGCTTGCGCTGCGCGGGTCTGGCGGTGTTGGGCTCTCGGTGCGTCAATTGCGTGGAGGGGGGTGTGCGGTCCTGGTTTGTGTATATATGTGTATGTGGTGTGTGTGTATGTGTGTGTGTGCGCGTATGTGTATATGTGTGTTTGTTTGCTGCTGAGGGGTGCGGGGTGTGTGAAAAATGGACAACAAAGTTGTGCTCGGTTGTCGACGACGTATGCGTTGCTCTGTGAACGCAATCACGCGGCCTTGTGGGCGCTCGTTGCAGTAGACCGGGTGCTTGGGAAAGAAATGCAGCCCGAACGCGCAGATGGGTTGGTGAACCGCTGTGAACACAGCAAGGAGGGCAATCCTAATGGATGGGTGGATGGGCGATGGGTGAATGGGCGATGGGGGTGTGCGACAGATTTGGGTGGTTTGTGTGGTAATCGCCTGGTGTCTTGCGGAAGTGGCGGAAACGCCGCAGTATGGTGCTGGCTGAATGCTGGCTGGCAGATGCCGGTGGTGAAGTAAGGTTTGCGCGATGACAATGGCAGGAATGCACACAAGTGCGCAAGCTAAACGTGCGTGTTGCGTGATGGGTGGTGGTTCTGCACGAAGGAATGCAGGGTGCTCGGTTTCTTGGTTGCTTATGTTTGTCCGTTTCCATGGCAGAGAGGGGGAACGGCATCCCCTGCAAGCCCCACCAGCCTGCGAGCAAGCCAAGTTGCAACCATGTCCAGGCCAGACCCAACCACGCACAAATCACAGGCTGGCTTCGTGATCGCTGCATCGCTGCACGACTGGCTTTGGCTGGCTGTGGTTGGCTTTGGCTGGCTTTGGTTGGCTTGCCGAACCGGTCAGGCGTGCGGAGTTTGGAATGCGCGTATCGCACCCAAGTTCGAGACCGCAAAGGACCACGAATGACGCAACCTGAGAGGCCCCATGCATGCAAGTCGGTGCGAATCCTGACAGAACCAGCCCACTTGTGGCAAAGCTGAAAAAGCCAACAATGTTTTGCCAACCAACAGAAAAAAAAACAAAATATTAAAATTGTGGCTGCTGTGGCTGGAGGAGGTGCTTGGGCCCGTCCCATGGGTGGCGAAATCTACGTTTCGCACCGCAAATCTTTTTCCCGCATGGTACGGTGGATAGCACAGGCTTGGATGTCGCAATGCGCGGTTTGGTGCCATCACTGACTTGTGTTGCGTTGTTTTGCCGTCTCCCTCGTGTTGTTTGGTTGTTTGGCTGCAGTAGCGCCTCTCTGCGTTCATTCACCACCACCTTGTTCCTTCCTTCCTTCCTTGCTTCACTTCTCTCGCATCGTCTCGTGTGTGCCAAGATGAACTGTGCCGTCCTTGCTGTTGTGGCTTGCGTGGCTCTTGCCATCGCCTCCCCCGTGCGCGCCATCCCCACCTGGAGCGTTGTCGCCAAGGATCTCCTCACCACCGATCTCGGTAAGCGCACGTGTGCGATGTGATGTGACCGAATTGCTGCTGCGATTTGTGTGTGTGTGTGTGTGTGTGTGTGTGTGTGTGTGCGTTCAGTGGTGGTGTGAAAAGGCGCGTTCTTCATTCACTTAGTGTGTTTGGAGAGGGGAACGAACGCACTTGGAGCGAGTGCCTCCAGTGATGCTGGTTGGCGATGACGCTGGGGTGATTTGATGTGATGTGATGTGATGTGTGTGCCTTCGCGTTCCCGTGTGCGTTTGCTGAGTGATGATCTGTCATGGCCGTGCATGTGCATGATGTGACCACAACACCGTCCTCCATCCATTCAACTTTTCCGCTCCACTCGCCCCCTTGCCCCTGCTGCAAACCTCCCTTCACACAACAGGCATTGCCTTCCCTGAGGCCAACACCGGCTACACCGCTGGTGACGCCAACGGCGCTGGCCCCGCCATCCTCAAGAGCACCGACGGTGGCCACACCTGGAACCAGTGCAACGCCACCTTTGGCCCCGACCTGCTCCTCCTCGCCGCCACCGCCGCCAAGGACGCCATTGTTGTCACCAGCATCTTTGGCGAGCTGTACTCCGATGACGATGGCAACTCCTTCCACCTCTCCGTCGGCGGTGGCATGTCCCAGAGCGCCCGCTACATTGGCGTGAACGGCGACGGCGGCAAGCGCTTTGGCGTTGCCGGTACCTACCACGGCCGCCAGGGTGTCGCCATCAGCGAGGACGGCGGCAAGCTCTTCAAGGCCTTCACCACCGACGAGCTCTTCACCTACTCCCGCTACGGCGCCTACCCCACGGACAGCACCTGGTACGTTGCCGCCGGCGAGTTCCCCAGCACCAACGCCACCGAGGCCGTGCGCCCAGACCTTCCCGCCCGCTACCGCCGCTCCGAGTTTATGGCTGCCGACGGCCGCTTCCCCGCCTCGTACAACCGCACCGCCGACCCCAACGTCGCCGGCTACAAGGCCCAGATTGTCAAGACCACCGACGGCGGCAACACCTGGTCCACCCTCTTCGCCCAGAACGACACCTTCTACTTCAACGGCATCGACTGCAACCCCTCAGACCCCAACCACTGCTGCGCCGTGGGCGAGTCTGCCGATGGTGCCGACGCCGGTGCCCGCATCTACTGCACCTTTGACGGCCAGAACTTCAACCGCACCTTCTACGCCCCTTACACCCAGGCCAAGGGCTACTCCCTCATCGATTTCCGCTTCGCCAACGAGACCTTCGGTTGGGCCGTCGGCGGCACCCTCAACGCCATTGCCCCCAGCGCATGGTTTGTCGTCACCAACGACGGTGGCCGCACCTGGGACGCCCAGACCCACACCATCCCCGGCTACTACGCCCTCGGCCTCGACGTTGTCAGCGAGAAGGTCGCATACGCCGCCGTCGACAACCTCATCACCCAGACCTCTGGCGTTGCCAAGTACTTTGCCCTCTAGACTACTAGCAACGCTTTTGCTGTAGCTGCACCCCCACTCACTTCCTTCCCTTGTTGAAAGGTCGTGTTCATGCTTCTCCTCCCCAACAAACAAACAAACAAACAAATCAACCATCAACCAACTTCACCACCAACCTACCAACGACGTACCCTTTTCCTTTGTTCTTTTCTTACTTGACACCGCAAACACCCCAAGCTCCACTGCCATGCTTGTGCGCTTGCCTTTCCTCTGTCTTCCTCTCTGTCCCTCTCTCGAGTTGCCTTGCATGAGGGCGCATGCTTGTGTGCCCACGTTGCCAATACAACCACACCCCGTCATGATTGGCGAGTCACAAAAGCATGGAATGACTGTGGTCTGTGGCATTATGTGTGATGACACACAACGTAACATAACACAGGATCTCAGACTTGACACGTCTTCCTGTTGTTTGAGACGGCATGATCATAATGATGATGATGATGATGATGATGATGATGATGATGGTCTACTAGTGGTTAACATGGCACACACAAAGCGAGCGAGAACACGTGCAAGGGGATGATGGATGAAGGATGAAGCAGCCGGCACAAAATGAGCGCGGCAGTCGATTATGGGTGAAGTTGCGCCGGTGCACGGGGAGTGAGGCTGGCGGCGAGGGAAAACAGCCGACATTCCCACGAACAGCACCGTCACCATCACACGACGAAACAAGATGTAGCATGGAGGAGAGGGACCCGAGAGAAAGCCGAGAGAGGCGCGAGGAGCAGAAAACGAACATGCAGCCAAGGAACATGCAACCACATATGAACACGACACACAGTACAAGGCACAACCCCAAACACACACACACACACACACACACACACACACACACACACACACACACACACACACACACACACACACACGCATCGCAACGGCACAGTGTCACAACAGACAGCAGTCGCCCCTGGTCCAGTACGCATCCCCCTCAGCTCGCCCAGCCGTTATCCATGACAGCATACCGCACAATGCTCCTCATGCATCCACGTCCACGTCGTTGTCTTCGTCGAGAAGTGCCTGGATTGCGCGGAACACAATCTTTCTGTCGTGCAGCCGAGTAAACCCCATCGACTGCAAGTCCCCGTGCGTGAGATCAAGCAGGTCACGCCCGCACAGCTCGTTCTCGCTGAACACACACGCAAACGGCGCCAGGCCAGGGCAACCCTCAGCCCACGACACAACTTCTGCCACGCTCCATCTCGCCACAAGCGCCAACCGCCCACTCGCAGGCTGCAACCAACACACAGTATGAAGGGTGGCATGTCCGGGGGAGGGGAAGAGGATGCATGTGAATTGGGGGCTTTGCTAGATTGTTGAGTGTGGAGTGTGGAGTGTGGAGTGTGGAGTGTGGACGCAGCAGCAACGCGGCAAAGGGTCGAAAGCAGAGACATTCAAATCAACAACAAACAGACACATATGCATACGAACACACATGCACGGGCATACACGCGTACACGCACACACACACGCATACACACATACACATATGCCATGACATACCGCTTGTGCTGCCCTGTATGCGCCGTCGCCGTCGTCGCGGTGCTGCTGCGTGACAAGTTGCGACAGGGTGGTGACTGCCTCCAACGCGTGCGTCAGCGCAGCGCTCGCTTCATCCGCGGGCTGTGAGGGGCGTGGCGGCCGTGCACACCGCCCAGCCGCTTCCTCGAGCGACCGCTGGATCGACAGCACCGCACTGCCGAGGCGACGGCGCGACTGTGCTGTCATCCCCGTCAGCGACACCGCCACGCTCGACAACACATCCGATAGCCGGTCCTCCTCCTCCTCCTCCTCATCATCATCATCCTTATCATCATCATCATCATCATCATCATCAGCAGCACCATCATCATCACCTTCCTCATTGGTACTGCCATCGATATTGGCGTCGCTGGCATTGTAGTCGCTGTCTCTGCGCGCCACCAAACCAGTGCTTGAGTTTGTTCGCCTTCGGCCCCTCGCGTCTTCACCATCGCTTGATCGCAGCTGTTCGCACGCATGCGCACCAGTGTTGTCGCCGCGCTCGCCACTGTCATGACGATCACTGCTGCTTCCTCTTCTTTGTCGCCCATTGCCGTGTGTCGATGCAAGGTGGCTGTTCGGTAACCGGACGTTGCCGCTCTCAGTATCGTCCCGCCCTCGGTCTTGCCCTTCCTTTTCTTCACTCTTCTGTGTCTGCTGCTGCTGCTGTTGTGTCTGCTGCTGCTGCTGTTGTTCCTGCGGCTGTTGTTGTTGTTCCTGCAGCTGTTGTTGTTGTTGTTGTTGTTGTTGTTGTTGTTGTTGCCTGCTGCTGGCGGTCTCAGGTGTCGGCGTTGACGATCCGCTCTCAACTGCAACGTCGTGCAACGCCAACTTGCTCACACCACCAGCCTTACCACCACCCGCTTTATCACCACCAACACCACCACTCGCCTGCTCCCCGGGCAGCTGTGCGTTCTGCAGGTACTGGTACAGGCGTTCGCGTGTCGACTTGGAGCTGGAGAGGCTGCGTCGCCGCTGTGCCAGGGACGGTGGGCTGCGGCTGCCGGAATCAGAGCACGAACTGAACCGCTTGCGTTCAAACTCCTCAAGGGCCTGCTCAACACGTGTCCCGCGCTGGCTCGTTCGCGGCGACTGGTGGCGCGTCACGCCCTTGCTCACCCTGCTCACGCTGCTCGTACTGCTGCTGCTGATGATGAGCGACGGTGTCGCTGCCGTGGTGACAGTTGTCGTCGCTGACGCTGTCATCACTGCCGTGGTTGTTGTCGTACTCGCGGCTGTGACTGTGTCTGTGCTCGCCCGTGCGCTGTCTCGGCGCTTCTCTGGCGACGGTGAAGGTGATATGTCCTCAATCACCGTCGATGCGTCGTCACACCGGCCACCGCCAGGCGTTGGCGTGGCATCAGTAGCAGTGCTCGTGTCAGCGCCCCTCTGCTGTGCTGTCTGTGTGGTGCTGCTCTCCTGCTCTTGTTGCGCTTCATCGCGCGCAACAGCTGCTTGTCGCATGGTCTGCCGCATACAAACAAACGAACAAACAAGCAGACAAACAGCACGCAATATGTGAGCATGAGGCACAGAGAGGCGAGGCAGACGCCAGACGCGCGCGCGTGTGTGTGGAAGAAGGGACAGGGAAAGTGTGTGTGTGTGTGTGTGTGGTGTTTGAAAATGTGTGCTCATGTGTCTGTGTGTGTACGTTGCATCAGCATACCTCCTGTAACGAAGCCGTCGGGTCAATGTCCCTGACAGAATACAAACAAACAGAACAGAACAGCTGTTATTATGTTGATTATACCGGGAAAGGCTGTTCAAACACACACACACACACACACGCACACACACACACACACGCACACACACACACACACACACACACACACACACACACACACACACACACACACACACACACGCACGCACGCACGCACACGTGCATGGTTGTGTGTGTGTGTGTGTGTGTGTGCGTACAAGTTCTTGACGGATGGCGGCGGGGATGATGGCGGTGTTGAGATTGGCGATTCCGGCGGCGTCACCCGGCGAATCGTCGTCGTCCGCCACAGCGACGTGTCATCCTGTACGCACATGCGTGTGTGCGTGTGTGTGTGTGCGTGTGTGTGTGTGTGCGTGTGTGTGTGTGTGTGTTGGTGCGAGAGTGAGTGAGTATGTGTGTTTGTGTGTTGGTGGGTGAGCGAGGGCGTGAGTGTGTGTCTAAAAGATGAGGACGTAGACAGGGAGGAGCCTTCGAGTGTGTTCTGGTTTACAGCATTCATCAAGCCGCGCCCCTCTCCCCAGTCCCCGCACTACCACCGGCCGGCTTCTGCCAACACCAGCGTCTCACGTCTTCGGTGCAGCTCTCTTCCTGGTGGCTTCCAAACAGCAGCTGGTGCTGCCGCCGCCCGACTTTTGCGCCCCACGAGCCAGACTCCCGCCTGACACACACACGCACACACACGCAAATGGAAATGGTCAGCGGAAGAACAAGTTAGCTGATGTATGCGTAATCATGTGTGTGTGCACGTGTGCGTGTGATTGTGTGTGTGTGTGCGTGTGTGCGTGTGTGCGTGCGTGTGTGTGTGTGCACGTGTGTGCGCGCGCGCGTGTGTGGTTGTGTGTGTGTGCGTGCGTGTGCGTGTGCACGCCCGTGTGCGTGTGCATGCCCGTGTTTGCTTGTAAGGAGATCATGAAACTGCAAGTTGTGCCATGTGTAGGTGGCGGCACTGACTTTGCGCGGAGAATGCCCTCATACAGCACGAGCTGCTGCTTGAATCCCTCATTCGGTTTGATGATCCGGCGACGTTTCTGGTCGTGTGAGAGGGACAGTTGGTTGGGGAATGGGATGCAGACGGTGAGTAACCGCGGATGGCATGCACACCCACACACGCACACACACACACCCACACACACGCGCGCGCGCGTCTCTAATGCACGCGCACCCACACATGCAGCTTCCCCAACACACACACACATGCAGCTCCCCCAACACACACATACACACATGCACGGCGCACTACCTTGACAAAGGCGTGTGCTTCCTCAAGGCTCCAGTTGTGCTGCTTCATGGCGTATGCAATGACGGTGGACGCGGACCGGCTCACGCCCATCTTGCAGTGCACGAGCACACACGACCCAGACATGCGCGCGCGCCGGATGAAGCGGAACGTGTTCTCCCAGTGCGGCCAGATGTCCTCCGTCGGAACATCCCAGATTCTATCGCAGCCGAGATTTTGTTGTGTGCGTGTGTGTGTGTGTGTGCGGGGGGGGGGGGGGGTGAGATTGGAACTCAACCATCAGGATCAAGGGTAATGGCTCACACACGCACACACGCACACACGCACACACATTCACACCACACACCACACACACACACACACACACACACCACACACACCACGCACACCAAAACCGCACCTGACGTTGTAGTACTCGACCGAGTCTGGGAAGAAGTTTGGAATCTCGTGTGTGACATTGAGGACAAAACGGCAGTTGTTGCTCTCAAGCTCCTCCTTGTTGCTGGCGTTCCACTCCGTGCCGAGGTAGAGGTAGTCGAAGATCTTGGACGCAGCTTCCATCTGCCCCATGATGGTGATCATCTGCTGGTTGATGGTGTGCTTGTAGTGCTTGAGGGACTTGCCAAAGTGGTCTTCGAGGCCCAGCAGCAGCTGCTTGCTCGTCACCGTGTCCAGGTCGCTTGCAAACATCATCTCCTTTAGCTTCTGTATTAACTGCTTCTCAAACTCTTCCTCAAGCTGCGACCTGCTCAACACACGCCCACAAGGGCCATCGTCGTCGTCGTGGGTGAGAGTGAGTGAGCGAGTGAGTGTGTGTGTGTGTGTTAAAATGTGTGCGAGTGCGTTGTTGCAGTACCGCTTGCTCATTAAACAGCACCACTCTTCATCACTACGACTGCCACCATCACCATAATCATCATCGCCCGTACCCTCCATTGATGGTGATGAGCTCCTGGCGTTCGCGCTGCTCGAGACGAATTTGTTCCAATTCCGACAGCGGCCGTTCCGAGATGAAACTCCACCGACTCAGCTGAGGAGGAGGAGGAGGAGAGAGCGTGTGTGGTGTGGGCATGTGTGTGCAGAATGATCTTCAAGGGCGCGTCGTGCACACGCACACAACAACCACGACAGCACCAACAATACCACGACAACTGTAACAGCAACTGCCACCGATGCTTCAACAAACAAAACAACTCAAGCAACACCATCCACGGCAGCAACTCGAGCACACGAGTTCTGTACCGGGCCCACCGCGCACCTTCTCCTCCACATCATCGATGAGGTCTGTAAACTGCTGCAGCCAGGGCCACGACTCGACAGGCCGCAGACTGTCGTTACTCTCCAGCGTCTTCAGCAGCGTGTGGAACGCCGACCACAGACTCCGAACAGATGCCGGCTTGAACACATACGTGCGCCGCTTGCTGCCCGGCGCAATGGCCGGCGCAAACTGCAGGCCTGCGGTGTGAAGGGGAGGAGTTGGGGTATGCGTGAGTGAGTGAGTGTGTGTGTGTGAGTGTGAGCGTGTGTGTGTGTGTGTGTGTGTGTGTGTGTGTGTGTGTGTGTGGGTGGGTGGGTGGGTGAGTGTGTGTGTGTGGGTGAGTGACAGTGCGTGGGCGTGTATACTTTTGAGTGTGAGTATGTGTGTGTGTGTGTGTGAGTGATGTGTGTGTGATGTGTGGGCACGTAGTAACATGAGCGCTGTGTTGCCATCTCAACAGGTATGCATCTCACCTCCATCACCGTCCAGCTTGACGCTCGATTTCGCCAGGACGGGAACAACAACGTGCACTTCAAACGGGTCGCTGGTGACGAGTGGTGGCAGTTGATGCGCAAGGCAATGAGCGGAGTGGTGTTATGACGCATGCAATACAGGCCGCAGCGCGGCAATGTAGTGCCTCGATACACCCGTGGCAGTCGGATGGATAGGCGCCCGACAAACACGGGCACAAACACGGGCACAAACACACACACACACACACACACACGTGCACACACACACACAATTCTGAACACCAACAAGCGCTGAAACCAGCACTCACGTGCCGTGCCGCTTGCGCTGGAGACCAAGGATTGCCGTCTGTCCGGTGTCCTCGTTGCAGACGAGCGTGAAGTACAGGTCATGTTCAAGAGCAACACCCTGTAGCGTTGGTGGTGGTGGTGGTTGGAGGAAGGCGAGGTGTGACTCGACAGGACAACTAGTTGACAGGACACACAGACACACAGACACAGACACACAGACACACAGACACAGGCACACAGACACAGACACACACCACACACACACATACACACACCCACACACACCATGATGATTTTCTGGTTGTCGTGCAAGATGTCGGAGACGGAGAGTAGGACATCGTGCATGTGGTAGTCGTCATCGCCGCCATAGTCGCTGGACGTCTGCGAGGCCTGCGCGTCCGGGTCCCAATATGACATGGCGATGGCGGCCGTGGGTGTCGTGCGGAACGCCACATCCGCCCTTTCCTCGGGGCCCATGACATGACCGGCGGCGTGTGTTCCCTGTGCATTGACAACATACAAGAGGCAAGCGATGAGCAAAACAACAGCGTGCATGCACAACACTGCGTCTTGAACAGCAGCAGCCGTTTTCTCCTCCTTCTTCTTCTTCGTCCGCCGAACCCATACCACTGCGCATCTCCGTATCATCCTCACACACACATACATACACACACACAGACACCTTCACACACACACACAGATACACAGACACCTTAACACACACAGATACACAGCCACCTTCACACACGTACGCGGCGCTTTTCGACGGCGTAGAGGTGAACATGTTCCTGTGCTGGCGTGGTCGTGCGCGGCGACTCTGCCAAGCCAGGGTGCTCCTCACCCTCGGATTCACTCATCTGTGTTGTGCCGTTTGGTCCGTCACTCAACGTCAGCAGGCAGTGGCAGGTTTTTTGCTGTAGGTGCTACGGCAATGTCCACAACCACCCCAGTGTACTGATCCACTCCCTCTCTCACACGCACATGCGCACGCGCACACCCGCCCGTTCCGTCAGCCAGGGAGGCAAGGCAAGGCAAGCGCGCTGTTGCTCGCTGGGCTGGCTTCTTGGTTGGTTGGTTGGTGTGTTTGTTTGTTGTGGGCAACAACAACAGCAGCCAGCTCAGCTGTTGTGTATTTTTTCGTTTGCTGCGGATTATTGACCGAAGATATTGCGATTCGTCACGATTGGGCTCAATTTTGCTGCTTTTTGCTTTTTGCAACAGCCGAGTGAGTCAGCGATGGCGTTGGTTGTGTGTGGGTTTGGAGCAAGCAACAAGGAGAGGAGAGCATGGATGTTGCTGTGCTGCTGTGTGTGTATGTGCGTGTGTGTGTGTGTTGTTGAAGAGTGTGTAGGGAGCTGACCTCGCTTCGAGTGCAGTGGTGGCGTTGCTCCTTGTTCTCATTTCGTAGCCGTGGCTGTTTGTGTTGAAATGGTGTTGGTATTGCAGTGAGTCATGTGATGTTGGCGTTGTAACACGCTGTGCTTATCAGTGAGCGTTTGTTTGTTTGGAATTGACATGCGAAGCGCTGACGTGGCCCACGCATACCCACACCCTGGCTCACACATGCAACTACTCGCACATACACACGCTCACACCTGCACGCTACTGCGCGCACACACACACACACACACTGCACACGTGCGAACGAACAACTGCGCCCTCAGCACACCCTTGTTCAGCGCAGCAACATCACGACTGCAGAGAGCAAAGGCGAGCACACAAGTGGACAATGATGGCGCTGCCGATGCTGCGGCCTCGCGCTGTGGTACTGCTGGCAGTGGCATGGTGTTTGGCGGCAAGCACCGCTGTGTCTCACGCACAAGAGGACTGCTCCTTCACCGTGAAGCAGCGCACCTACCACCTTGCCGATCTCCGGGGCGACCCAAGGTCTGCTGTGTGTGTATGTGTATGTATGTGTGCGTGTATGTGTGTGTGTGTGTGTCTGTGTCTGTGTCTGTGTCTGTATGTATGTGTGTGTGTGTCTGTGTGTGTGTGTCTGTGTGCGTGTGTGTGTGTGCGTGTGTGCGTGTGTGTGCATATATGTCCGTGTCTGCGTGTGTTTAGTGTGCGCGCCTGAGGGTTCGAGGGCTTTGGAGTTTCCATGAAGCCGGCCACAAACCAAGCCTTCTTTTCACGCTTTCACACGCTTACATACACACTTCACACACACACCCCTCTCCCCACTGTCTCACGTTCGCTGCAGCTCGTATCATGAAGTGGACAACCAGCGCTTGAAGGTGGAGGCCGACGTGACGCTGTGCCAGGGGTTGGGCGTGAGCGGCTGCCAGGGTGCGGTCGTGTGCATCCGCAAGCTGGACGGCAGCAACCCAACACCCGCCGGTGACCCGAGCAACGGCACGTTTGAGCTCGTCGATCCCACCGACCCGGACTTTGGCGCGCGCCTCATTTACCCGCCAGCCCAGGGCCAGACCCTCGGCGTGCACTTTGTGTTTACGTGCGGCGTGGGCGTGGGCGAGCCCGTGCTGATGGAGCGGTTTGACGAGGACGCGAGTGACCACGGGTACGCGTACTACGTGGTGCAGTGGGCGACGGACGAGATGTGCAGCGGAGCGCCGCCGGCGAAGCAGGAGAACTGCCAGGCCACGGACACCGCGACGGGCACCGAGTACGACCTATCCGCGCTCGTGCGCAACAAGAACAACTGGGTGGCGGTGGATGTGTTGGAGAGCAACAAGCACCACTACGAGATCAACGTGTGCCGCTCGCTGGTCATCACGGACGAGATCAAGGGCACCACGTGCGAGACAAACGAAGGCACCGCCATCTGCAAGAGTGACGTGCAGCCTGATGGCACGCACACCCACTCCATGTCCCTCGGCTGGTCCGCCAAGCCCATCTTCAGAGCAGGCAAACTCAGCATCGAAACCAGCTTTGTGCGTTTGAATGTGTGTGAATGTGTGTGTGTGTGTGTGTGTGTGTGAATGTGTGCGTTTTGGATGCTTGGTGTGTCTGCGTTGTGTGTGTGTGTGTGTGTTTCTGCGTTGTGTGGGTGTGTGTGTGTGCATATCGTTGCGACTTACTTCCTGATCTTTCGTCTTCCAATCTAACTGCACATCAATTGTGTGTGTGTGTGTGTGTGCACCAGGGCGACGAGTGCCCTGCGGGCTTCAAATCCGACGCCGTCATCGACTTTATCTGTGACGTCAACGCTGGATCGGTGTGTGTGTGTGTGTGTGTGTGTGTGTGTGTGTGTGTGTGTGTGTGTGTGTGTGTGTGTGTGTGTGTTGGGAGGGGGTTATCGTTGAACTTTTTTTGCAATGAACACCATCTTCGTTGTTTGCTGCACTGGCACGTGTACTGTACATCACTACCATCTCTCCACACATCGCCGCCATCTGATATGTGTGCTTTGTGTGTGCAGGGCCACCCGACGCTGCGGGAGGTCACGGACCAGTGCCTGTATGTGTTTGCGTGGCGCTCCTCTGTGGCCTGTCCCGTCAAGGACGAGACGGGGAACAACTGCAAGGTCACCGACAAGGCCACAGGTTGGTGATGGCTTTGCTTGTGTGTGTGTGTGTGTGTGTGTGTGTGTGTGTGTGTGTGTGTGTGTGTGTGTGTGTATGCACACGCGTTTGTTACGCCACCCCCCCCCCTCTCTCTCTCTCTTTTGCATTTCAAGTTTCCCTCCATTCACGACTCTCTCGTCAAACTCCTTGCCATTTCAATTTGTTCCCTGCAGGCAAAACGTATGACCTGACGTCGCTCAACCTGAACAAGAAACCGTACACCATTGCCGCCGACGACTACACATACGAATTCAACGTCTGCGGCGACATCCCAGGTGTGCATGCGTGTGTCTGTGTGTCTGTGCCTGTGCGAACTGCTCAATCATCGTTGTAAGCACCTCGCACATGTGTGCAGCTGCCCTTGATTCTTGCCTCCCTCTCACAACTATCACCTTACACCACCACCACCACCTGCCAGCTGGCGGTCACCACGACTGCGTGGCCACGGGCGCGTGCCAGATCCCCAAGGACGGCAGCCACGTGTACAACCTCGGCCAGGCAAACCCGACTCTCACGGTGCAACTTGGGGTGGAAGTCGCGTGTGTGTGTGTGTGTCTGTGTGTCTGTGTGTCTGTGTGTCTGTGTGTCTATGTGTCTGTGTGTCTGTGTGTCTGTGTGTGTGTGATCATGCGATTTCAAGTGTGCATGTGCACTAAACTGCAGTGGTGCCCCGTTTGAAGTTCACTAACTGCCATCACCACCATCACCGTGTTCAGTATTCGCGGGAGACGTTGACGCTGGAGTACACGGGCGGCGACCCCTGCGGCGGGCAGAGGAGGAAGACCATCATCACCTTCCACTGCACAGACGGAGGTGCTGTGTGTGTGTGTGTGTGTGTGTGTGTGTGTGTGTGTGTGTGTGTGTGTGTGTGTGTGTGTGTGTGCATGCGTGTGAGTGTTCAAGCATTGCTTCGTGTATTGTACTTTTGATCACTTGTTCCCTCACGTTCCCATGCTGCCCGTCGTCGCTGCCGCTGCCGTTGCAGATGACAAATATGAAGTTGTTGAGTCGACGCCGTGTGTGTACGAGATTGAATTCTTCACTGCCGCCGCCTGCGGTCTCGACAGCGATTTGCGTACGTCACACACACACACACACACACACACACACACACACATACGTACACACACACACACACACGCACACACGCACGCACGCACGCACACACGTTCGCGCTGGCATTTCTGTGTGCTGTTTTGTGCTCCTGTCAAGTTATGATTTCATCAGCCCACCGTCAACTCACACCACCGTTGCGACCGCTGCGCACGGCCATCAGTCGAGTGCGTGGTGACGGACGACCAAACCGGCGAGCAGTACGACCTCTCATCCCTGACGCGGGTGCGTGTAGTTGGCCTTGGCCGGTTGCACGTGTATGGTGTTCGTGTGCTCATGTGTGTTTGTGTATGCTCACATGGGTATGTGACTGTGCGTGTGTTTACCAACCTGCGTGTACGTGTACATATGTGCGCACATGCAGACCGGCGGGTCCAATTGGCGGATGGCGAAGGATTCGCATACGACGGACGAGATTGAGCTGAACGTGTGTGCGCCGCTCGTGTACAGCGGTGACACCGCCGCCTGCCCGGCCGACGCCGCCGTCTGTGGCATCTCGGGGTGCGCTGTCTCGATGTGGCGAGCCATGTGTCTTGCTGTGTGTGTGTGTGTGTGTGTGCGTGTGTCTGTGTGTGTGTGTGTTTGTCTGTTTGTCTGTGTCTGTGTCTGTTGTGTCTGTTTGGTGATGTCGTGTGCTGCGTGCTGCATGGAGTTCAGCTTTTCTTTCTTCGTTGCTGTCATTTAGTTCGCTGTCACTTTCTTCCACGGTGGCATGTGCTCACACTCCTCCACGTTCCCTGCTTACCCTTGTCACCCTGCCCTTGTCACCCCTATCTTACTCCCCCCCCCCGCCCTTCTGCCAGCATCCCGAACCGCCCCGCCAATTCGCACCTCGGCCTTCCTGCGGACCCTGTCGTGCGCGATGGCATCCTCACCATCGACTTCCCGGCGAAAGACGGACAGTGCGGCGCCACCACCCTCCTCCTCCACTGCAGCGACACACAGGTCTGTGCTGGCGCGTTGCAGTCGGGTGTGCAGTGTGCTTTTTGTGGTAACGTGCGTGCATGTGGTGTGTTCGTCGTGTGGATTGTGGCGATCATGTCTTGTGAGCTCTCACTCACCAGTAAGTACACAAACCACATCCAACACACACACATACACAAAACAACACACACACATACACACGACGTACTTGCATACACACACACACACACCCAAAACTCACACAAACGCATGACCCCCACAGGATGCGCCGCAGCACCTGATGACATCTGATGACGGGTGCAGTGTGACGCTGCAGTGGAACACGCCGGCCGCGTGTCCGCTCAACGCCGCGTCTGGGCAGAACTGCATGGTCACAGACCC